TTTTTGTGCTTTCAAGGTTCTTCAGATCTTTGAGGAGGTTCAGAGGCGGCACAGGCAGGGACAGACGAATCCTGCTTTTGAAGATGATCTGCATCCATCAGACACACAAAGGGAGCAGAGTTCAGGAGAGGACGACACAGCAGAGTCAGGAAGAGGGACTGGAAACTCAACACCGTTCACTGCTTCACCTGAACAAAGTCCAGTCCTCAGAAATAGCTCATAGCATTTGTGAACTGCTCAAATATTCTCCAGCTATAACACAAACCTCATGCTGTCTTGTGATAAACACATTATTGTTGTTTTATTTAAGGTGGTTTCTAGAGCTGAATGTGTATTACGTGTTATTAGCAAGCACAATCTTTTGTACAGAATTTGTTTCATCACAATATGGATGAACATTTTATGAGTTTACAGTGTGTATTATCTATTATATTTTGTTGTTTTCTTCTTCTGTGATGCTGAGTCTGCTGTATTATGCCAATTAACATGAATGCACTGTGAAGGATATTGAACTGATACAAAACAGTTTTTCCATATACATTAACTATGGATAATAAAAGAAAATATTTAATATATTAAAGTCTTTCAAACAAGCACACCTACTGTTCTATATCAGCTTATCTTATGAAATGTAAGCACACTACGTCATTCTGACAGTTTTATATTTTATAAAACCTATTTTTTTTCCCAAATATTGCCAAATGATGCTTGAAAAGTATTTTCAACAAATTCATCAATATCATTTTGGAATAAAAAACTTTTTTTTTTGCAAAGCATTTTTCTCCAGTTCCAGTGCAATTGCTGATCCAATCCAGACGCACTACTGAGACACACTTATATATGTATATAATGTGGAAATAATGTAAATAATGGAGCCAGTAGTGTGTGTCTTTGTGACTGCCTCAACCATTTAAGTAATGGAACATACAATCTTTTGTTTATTACCAGTTTGCTTGAGAGTAGAAAGCTGTTGACCAACGTTCATTTCAAACATGTTGCTGAAAATTAAACAGGAGGCCCCAGTTACACTCTTTCAATTAGTCTCAGCCTCCACTCATTCTGACTGCATTTGCCTTTTCACATTGATTTTCCATCACATAAAATTTCAAACCAACTAGCATTAAGTGGGAGTGGGTTGTAAAGCCCACCATGCCTGAGTCTGCTTTGATGCTTTTGATGACGACTCCTCAAGAGTGGAGCAAACTGTCTGTCTGAGGAAGGAGAGGACTTCTTACAGTTTGCCTGCATTTTTGCACCCTAGTCCTGAATTAAAAGTGTTACTCAGTTAAAACTCACACAACAGTGCAATTCTAGTGGCGTGTGCTCTGTGTACACTTTATTTTACTGTTACTAACATAGTAGGTGGATTATCATCACACATGGACAGACTTTTCAGGTTGAATAAAAAAACAAGGCTATTGCTTATTTGGACAGTAAGCTTCCTTATTAAAGTTTGTCTTTTGTTTATTAATGCATTATATTGCATCACTTGATTTTCTGTCTAATCTTACATGTAAATGAAAAATATTGCATGTGTACCGTGGCTCTCTCCATCACTGTCATTTATGTCTGAAGGAAGCTGTGAGGAGTATTAACTTTAAGGAACCGATGACCGACAACCAGATACTGGTTCAGTGGTAACCATTTAGCATCATCCAGGAACAGCACCAACAACTACTGGGCCTCGAGATGGAAATAAAAGCAAATGAAATCCAGTAGTGACATCATACTTCTGCCATTAATTATGGCTGCCCTTGACGAGGGGGCAACTAATAGAGTAATTGGTCCCATCTGTGTGTCTGTCTGTCCATGTGTCTGTGAACAGTCTCTAGCTCGAGTAGTGAGTAAGTACTAAGTTATATGTTATATAATCGTCAAAGANCAGTGATTCACAACATGCATCTGATCTGCATTTGGAGCAAACATCTGCACCTGTAATCAAACATGAACATGTTAAACATTTCATATATGATTAGCCTTTGTATTTGAGGATTGTGGATCTATTAAAAGGTGCTATTTTGGACAAGTGTAAATGTAAAAGCTGCAAAGTAATTCTAAATATGACTGGATTCAGAAGTTTTATACACATAAACACACTGTAACACGTGGATTTTTCTTGGTTTCTTGCTCTTACTTTTGCTCCGGCACGACTCAGATGGACAAGGACAGCGGAGGCCTCGTGGATCTCTGTGCCGTCATAGACTCCACAGCCTGAGAGAATAACTGCAACACGCTTCGCCATGATTCCTATAAAAACACACAGACACAAAAAACAGGTTTAGCAAGATTCAATATCATATTGTTTCCTTGTCAGACAGGAGAAGTGTTTGAATAACTGAGTGCTGCTCTTGAGCCACTTGTCGCATGTTCACATAAAACATTTACAGAGCGAGGTGAGAGATGAGTCCCAGGAGTCCTGCTGCTGCCAGGAAACACTGTTGACACCAGTAAAAAGACGTACAGGAAGAGGTTTGACTCTGCTGTGTAAGAATCAGCAGGAATGAAGTTGTATCAAATAAGAATTTAGCAAAACTTCAGGCATTTTGAAGTGATGGTTTGCATTTTATCAGAGGTTTTCTAAAATCATCATGTGTTTGTTCCTGCAAAAGTGTTAAATCAGACAGCAGAAGTAAAGACAATGTGGATCCACATTGTCTCATTTCCTCACCTTGAGCAGGTTTTGTTGTAGGCAGCCTGGTGTCACACAGAGTGTAATCGAGCTCTTCAGCCAAGGTGTGATGAGTGAACAGTGAAACAGAGACTCTTTATGGTCCTGCTGCCTCTCCTGTCTCCTCCCACACACTGCTGTCCATGACATCATACACATTTAATGCAACCAGGAACACCTCTAAAAAAATCACCCGTGCAGAGAAAATGCTGAGTCATCCCCCTCATACCTGATTTTTAAAAAAAGAAAGCAAATAGATGTATCGACATTTGAATAGCAGTATTTTCAGACACTTGTCAAATCCATTCATTTGCTTTAATTTGTTAAAATAGATGCATAAATAAATAAATAAAAGCATATTAAAAATAGAAAAAGAACAGGTGAATTAGTTTTAATATTAATGTCAGTCTGATCATATTTACATTTTTTGGGAGTAGCCTACAGCTTCCTAAAACAAACTACAAAAAAAACTCTTGAAGCAGCAACATCAGTCAGCAGATCTGCATGTATTACTCATTATTTGCTAGTTAAATTATTTAAATTTATTGTCTGATTTATTTATTTATTTTTGAATAGCGCAAGAACAACTGTGTCCAAAGTTAGACTTTAAGCAATATTGCAGTTGATATGGTTAATAAGGTTGTGGACGAACATCTTTGCAAATAGTGTCAAATGACTTTGGCCTTCAGATTACAATAGACACTTGCGGGATGACCACAGCAGCAGCCTGTTTCCTCCTTCCCTTACGACTCTGTGTTATTTCCCGGTGAGCTGCACCTTCTTCCCTCTCAAGTTTCTNTGGATTTATTGATATATCCAACATGCAGATTTGGTTTCAGAACTTAAACTGTATAAGTCAAGATTTTACAACAGGCTGTTTGATCAAGACCACGAAGCAGAGCAGAGGTTAAATGTGGAGATTCAGACAGCTCACAGACAGAAATCTCATTTCTATTTCATGTTTCATATCACTGTTCTCCTGTGCCAAGATTGTTGGAGTTGTTCATTCACTTCCAAACATTCTATTAAATGAATGAAAACAATGATGTTAAATAAACATTGAATGAATGAATGAATGTCACTTCACCTCAGATGCCACTCCAACAGCAGCAGAGCAACAACCAGTCATGAAACATTCAGAAAACATTCAGCTTTTAATCTACAGTGCAGATGCAAGGTAAATGACACATTGTTGGATCTCCTTGTTGAAGTGATGCAGATCAATTCATGATGAGAACAAAAACACTGAACCTGAAAGACGAATCGAAAACGTGTGTAAAAGGGTTCATGGCCTGAAGACATGAAGTTATATATTTTACCTTTATTTTTGAAACTGTTTGGTTTTACATTGTATTTACTGATGATTATTCTTGGAATTTATTACAGGATGACTCACATCTACTTTGTGGAAAAGACTTTATGTATACTTTATACAGACTACAAATGAATAACCTTTCCTCATGTTTCAGCTGATTTTTTCGTGTCTAATGAATGAAATGAATGAATGTCACTACTGTCATATCAAGTGCTGTGTATGTTCTGGTCCAATCTCTGGATGACCAGCATCACCTTTAACTCAGTGGATCTTCTGTTGCAGCACACAGATCACAGAATACAACTGTATGCTGAGTGGTTGTATTGCACTAAAAACATACATACAGCTTCACCACAAACATAAGGAAATGAAGTGACATCTATAATCTGAGTCTGGATTGTTTTACTTTTCCTGTTATTGGTACAGTTTGATGTTCAAATGTTTTATGCTGTTTTAGAATTTATGTCAGTTAATTCAAGTGTCCAATTTGTGAAAAACACTTAAGATACCAACAACAAATAAATAATGTTTCTTGATTTTTTTTTTTCTTTATTCTTTTTATGTTTGTAATGGATGACTGAATGTCACATCTTCTGACACATCATCCCAAAAGTAAAACACAAACTTGCCCCAAAAGACAAAGGATCATTGTTCTCAGACAACACCCAACAGCAGCAGAAACACAAAGAAACGTGAAACAAAAAGGAAATTTTCAACTTTGGTTCTTCAGTGCAGATGTGACAGAACATAAAGGAAAGTCGCATTTAAAAAACATTCTTGAAGTTCCCTGTTGAAGTGATGCCAATAAACTCATAACAAGAAAGAAAACAAGGAACATGTGAGAAGCAAGGAAAAACTGCGTAAAAGGTTCATGACCAGGAAGAAAACATTTAAATGAAAACAGCACTGTTCAATACATTTTGGAGACAAAAAAAATAAAATGAACTCACACTCTATTAATATTTGCCTTGATTTATTCACATGTGAAGAATTTAAGTACACATGTGGCCCATCTGCACGAAATCAGTCGCATTGTGCCTTGGGCTATATCTGAGATACATACACCCCGAACTAGGTTAACACATGATAAAATATTGATTTTGGGTTTATTACTTAGATTGGTCCATTTGATTGTTTTCTACATGTAGGTAACAAATACCGTCAGGTGCAATGCGACTGATTTTGTGCAGATGGGTCACATATGAGAAAAAGAAAAGGGAAATTCCTGACATGCAGACACTTGTGTGTTTTGCTCTCTAGTGTGTGTGTGTGTGTGTGTAATGGTATTCTTGGCACAAGTTGGCACAAGTTTGAAAGTGTGTCTCCAACAATCTCTAAAGACAACAGTTAGTGCTGCAAACCTCAGCTCTCCTGTCACGTACGCTCTGTTCCTCGACAGTTTCCAACTCAACCTGAATACAGTAAAGAGAATAAAAAAATATATAACATAAACTGTCCAACAATAGAAAAAGGATCATTGTCCTTAGATGTCTCCCAAGAGTAGTAAATGACACATTGCTGGATCTCCTTGTTGAAGTGATGCAGATAAATTCATGACGACAACAAAAACATTGCACCTGTGAGAAGAAACAAAAACTTGCGTTAAAGGGTTCATGGCCTAAGGACACAAAATGACATCTGTTATCTTTGTATGTGGATTGTTTCTGTTATTTTCTCCGTTTTTGATGCTGTTCAGTTCAAGTTCATGTCAGGACGACTTGAAACCACTTTGTGGAAAACACTTGAGCTACAAACACAGAATGATTCACTTTTCTTCTCACTTTTTCATTGTCTTGCTCCATGTCCTGAGTTTATTAGCATCACTTCAACAAGGAAGATGCCAAGAATGGTTTTTCAATGTGTCTTTCATTTACGTTCTATCATATCTGCACTGACGTGCCAAAGTTGGTTGATACCTTATTGTTACATAAGTCTTTGTGTTTCTGCCGTTAGGATGATGTACGAGGACAATAATCCTTTTTCTTTTACGTTTTTGATAAGTTTATGATTCTCTTTGCAAATGATATAACAGAAAAGTGGCGTTAATTTATTTGGCATATAAACAGCCAATACGTCTAGAAAAGTAAATCATTCTGTTTGCATCTCAAGTGTTTTCCACAAGTCTGACTTTCGTCATCCTGACTTGAACTTCAAAATAGTTGTCATTGTTTTCTTTCCTGTCACGAGTTTCTTTACATCACTGCAGCCAGGGAAATGACAAGGAATTATCTTTTCAACAGGTCTTTTTTTTAAGTTGCATAATTTCTGTTGCATTCAATTTCCTCATTGTTACATAAGTCTAAGGAAATCCACAATAGCATGGCCAACACACCTGGTAAGGGCCTCACCTTCCTATTAAACCATACAGAACTGGGTTTCTTATTAAAAGTGGGGTAGGTAGAACACCAAAGATGACCCACTGTTAGGACACTCAAAATCAGTGACGACAGATGACCAAATGGAGAACATCCACCACTTAGTCGAGAATGATACACATGTGACTGTCCAACACACAGCGGAAACCATAAAAATGATTCATTGAAGGTGAGCAAGACAAAACAGTGAAAATCTTCAAGAGTTTATAGTAGCTTTCAGTCCGTAAGGCATTTGTTGATCTGGATAAATGCATTTCAGCCTGAGGTCAAAGAATGTCCAACAACAGCTAAGACAAGCCCTGGCAAACAGGCCTGTGGAGGATGCATTCAACACCGGACTGAATCACATTCTGCAACATCCAGATTCCCCAGGAAGCTTGCTCAGGGCACTGTTTGTGGCCTTCAGTTCAAATGTCCCTGAAACCCTCCTCACCAGCTCTCTGTGCTCACCTCCACTTGTCCGTAGTCCGACAGCTATCTGGCAGACAGGCAGTAGCATACGAGGCTTGGGAGAGAACCACATCCTCCATCTGGACAATCTGCACTGGGGCTCCCCAAAGATGCTTGCTGCCCACTCTGCTGTTTTTCCTCTACACCAATGACTGCACCTCAGCAGAGGCTTCCGTCAAGCTGCTGAAGTTTTGTCTCCTGAATGACGACAACAAGTTGGCTTACAAACAAGTGACTGAACAGCTGTGGTGTGTGGACAACAAGCTGCAGCTCGACACTGGGACACCAGAGGAAATGAGAGTGGACTTTATGTGAAGCATGAGAGTACTGCCTCCACTCTACAGCAGCAGTGTATCGACAGTGGAGTCCTTCAGTTTCTAGATAGATACATAGAACTTTATTGATCCCTTTGGTAGAACCTCAGGGAAATTGTTCTAGGTTCATTCATCGTGGCAAATCTCCCACCTAATGAAGAAGGCAGTAATAGCTTTTATCTAATGTGCCAACCCAGTATGTTCAGCACCCTCCAAGATCTCCTTGTGCAGTTATAGCATCCACTGAGCACATCATGCATCTTGGGAATATATGTTCAAATTGTAGTTGTGAAATGATATGCAGATCTTAGCACACTTACTATAATAAAATATAATCCTGTTTCATTTTTATTGGAGGGCTGCAAGGTGGCTAGCACTGTTGCCTCGCAGCTATAAGACCCCTTATT